GAAGTGGCGCTGTGGCTCAAGTGGTAGAGTGCTAGCCTTGAGCTGAAGAGCTGAGGGACAGCGCTCAGGCCCAGAGTTCAGGCCCCACAACCGGACCCAAAAAAAAAAAAAAAGAGTCTCATGGACTTTCCTGCTGGCTTTGAACCGGGATCCTCAGATCTCAGCCTCCTGAGTAGCTAGGATTACAGGCATGAGCCACCAGCGCCCGGCTACCTATTATTTTTCTTTAATGAAAAAAAATTCATTAACAGTAATTTGAAATATTCTCATAAAACCAATACAAATTCAGCAATGAGCCAGGGACATCTGAACCTAAGGAGTCACTTTGACACATCTAGAACCCTTAGCCCTCATTACATACACACACCTCAACCCTAATGAAGTGCAATTGTGGGGGAAAAATATATGCCAGCAGGCAAATAAAGAGAAAAATGTGTTCTGTTTTTACATATTAATCATGTTCTCTATTTTTTCTTTAAGTTAATAGTAACTGAAAATTCATTTGCTATACTAAGAAAAATTGCTAGTAATAGTAGAGGCAGGATGATCCAAGGAGAGATGCTGGCTGGTGTGGTAGTTATATTGACATATTCTCTCTCTCTCCCCATGTCTCTCTCTCCACCAACAAGAATATGTTCTTATCCAATTATAGACTGATCCCCCAAACCAAGAAACCAATATGTGGCACTTTTAGATTCCTCATTTTAAGTAAGACATCCAGCTTTACGTAAGGTCCTTGATGGTCAAAGGCAATGAAAGGCAGTTCCAGGTTTAACAAACCTTTGCTTTGACATCAGAGATTTCATCTCAGTCAGTGCTTTCTACCTGAAGTCATACGTGGGGACTGGTCCTACCCTGTAGCTCACAGGGACACAGAGGGCATGAATGGTAGAATATGAGCTCATTGTCCTCTAACCCTCCCCCCACCTGCCCCAAGCCCTCAGCCCTGCAGGGATGGGGCTTCCTTTTGCCATGCCGGGGGTGGGGACTTAGCTCCCTAAATTTTTTGTCATCAAAATGACAGTTCTTAATTTTTTATCCATTGTTGTCCTTCTGTTTGGGTCTCGAACTTATAGGAGCAGTATAATGAAGTTTGAGTTCCATTTGATTTGCTCACACCTAAAGATAGAATTCCCATTTGTGAGCCAGGCACCAGTGGCTCACGTCTGTAATCCTAGCTACTCAGAAGGCTGAGATCTGAGGATCATGGTTCATAGCCTGCCCAGGCAGGAAAGTCTGTGAGACTCTTATCTCCAATAAACCACTCGAAAACTGGAAGTGGCGCTGTGGTTCATGCAGTAGAACGCTCACCTTGAGCTGAAGAGCTGAGGGACAGTGCCCAAGCCCCCCACAACCGGCAAAAAAAAGAATTCCTATTTGTTCAGTCGCAGCTGGTTGGATAGGTGAGCAAGTTGGCTAAATGAAGAATCAAAAACAAGCAACAGATGCACTGACAGCAGACGTTTTATTTTGGTTTACGTCTACATCTAATTTACATTTACTTGGAGGGCACATGAAATCTTGAGTGCTGTAGGACGGGATCTGAGTCCCTTCTTTGGGACTGGACTTGCAGTGTGCAGGAATTTCTGTCCTTCTTCCTCAGTTACACACTGAATACATCCTTGAGTTTCCAGTTTGGGTTTCCTCAAAACAAGCTGAACATAATTTGTCCAGATCTCCCTCAACTCTCTCCTCCTCTACCCCAGACTGTAGATCAAATCCTGGACTTGATCATGCTAAGCACATGCTCTACCTCTACGCTGTGCTCACGGACCCTATTCATCCTTGCAACCTTGTTTTTGTAACTAAAATTTTATGCCCTCACATTTAATCCCATTGTTGGGTAGCATTGCACTGCATCGTTTCAGGGTGATCATAAGTGCTTCTAGCAGAACTGGGAGTGAGAATGACAAACTCTTGGCCACCATAGAACCCATTTGTGGGACAGCATGCCGGTGCTGGTGTGTGAAAGAGAGACCTGACATCTCTATTGTGAGCAGGTACAGTGAGCTCTGGTCCACAGAGCTCTGGCAGCCACAGAGTCATGGCGAGAGGATCGCCATTCACTCTGTTCGCATTAACTCTCATCCATCACGTGTCTGTGGCTTGCTCTGGCAGCCTGGCTCCGCCAGCAGGCCCTCAGCTGTCTGTGTGCCTGGGTTAGCAGATCTACCCCCAAAGTCACTTCAGTTTTAATTCTCAGCTAAATTGGCAAGGCGTGGCCTGCCTGTGCCTCTGCACAATTGGGCTGACGAGGACTTCAGAGTATGTGACAATTTTGCTGACGGGCAGATCCTCCACCTGATTGAATCAACTCAGAATTCCAGCCAGGGCAGCTATCTGGCAGCTGTTCAGCTGCTGATCCAGAAAGGAGCCCTGTGGAGAGCCCAGCCTGCAGTCCCCCCTCCTTCCTCCTTGCCACCCCCTCCCCCCCACAAGGCATTCTGATAACTTTGGATGGGGGTGACGGGAACACAAGAGTTAAAGGAATAAATTAACTGCACCAGGGCATTTCCCTTAAATGAAAGTTGAAACATTACAGATGTTTCAATTATTCTAGTAGATGATTTGACTGAGAGATACAGGGTTATATTTTCATTCATGCTGTTTTGGTCCAGATTTTTTGTTTTTTTCAGTCTACTTTGGAAACACCACCATTACTTCAATGGGATAAGACCCATTAGTTTCTACTCAAATGTGAAATCTCTTAAAAACCAGTGTGGCTGAAGGCTATTTTGAAGGAAAGCACAACTTGACAGGTATTTTTTTTAAAACAATGTGTTAATGATTTTTTCCTTTTCCAACAATAAAGCACCTCTTGACTTCCTTATACTGACTGTTAGTGCAATAAGCACTCAGTTGTCCTACAACGAAAGCTTTTTAATTAATTAATATAGCTTCTCTCCCCCTCGAAACTAGGAAGTGGCCCATGTTAAAGAGATGTTTTAGCACCTTTGAATTTTTACTAGGTCACATCAAGGAATCATTCTTGTAACAGTTGCATTTAATTCTCAGGACCTCACACTGAATGAAGAAAACATTCATTGTAGAGAATCTGAAAGGGTTTCAGTGCTCAGAAGTTCTAGGTCATGTGCAGTGGGTTTGCCATACATATGGGCTGTCCTAGGAAGGACTGACTTCTAGTGGGTACTTTGAACAAGTGACTCAATTCTCCCAAGTTGCCTTGTTTGTAAGGGGGGCGTAGATATGTAGATCCGTCTTGCAGAGTCTATGAGGAGGCTTAGAGACTCTATCAAAGGTTGTTGGAGACGTAAGAGATGGACAGTTATTTCTGTTACACTCCAAATGAACTAATTGGGATTTAATACTATTAAGCAAATGCTCTCGTACTCTGCCAGAAGCACTTACAATTCAACTTAATGAACAACAATCAACTTAATGAAACAGTACATAACATAGGTGATTAAATATGAATGCATAAAATTTCAGTTGCAAAAACAAGGTTGGAAGAATGGATGATATAAAATTCAAGGCCTGGGCAGGACTTGTGGGTGTAACTCAATGGCAATGCATTTGCTTAGCACTAGAATTAATAATACCCTCAGCACTATTAGAATTAATTGTACCTTGAAAAAGAGTGCACAGGGAATACTAGTTGATTAGCCAAATATTATTTCTACATAGGCACAGGTACTTATCTGTTTAATAAATTGCAAATTAGAGGGCTTGGAAGGTGTCTCAGTGGTAGAGCGCTTGCCTTGTATGCTTGAGGCCCTGGGTTCGATTCCTCAGCACCACATAAGCAAAAAGAAAAAAAAAGCCAGAAGTGGTGTTGTGGCTCAAGTGGTAGAGTGCTAGCCTTGAGCTGAAGAGCTGAAGGACAGCGCCCAGGCCCAGGGTTCAGGCCCCACGACCGGACCCAAAAAAAATAAATTGCAAATTAGAAACCCTAATAGTGCCTGTTGTTTATAAATGACAGGCACCAAATGAAATACATAGACATGGGGCCAGCACTGTCAAGGTACTGATCAAGGCTTTTCTGGGCCTGTGGT